ATCAGTTTCTGAAGAAACAGAAGACCCTTCCTACGGCACCATCAAACACAGGGATAGCGTGTGCTCTGTATCATCATCCATCCAGATCATGCGACAGCGCTCTCAAGAGGCAGCCTGCGGAGCCAGCACAGAGGATGGAGGGGCTGTTAGGCCAGGAGGTGTCTGGGCTCTCCCCACAGCAACCACTTTGATTCTGAAACTGGTCCCAATACGGCCCACCCGGCTCCAGTCTTCCCCTGGCCTCCAGTGGGGGAGTCAGCAGAGGGGTCCGGAATGCCTGCGCGTGAGTTTTTAAAATGGAACACCTCCGCTATTACATCATGGACAAGGTGAGACTCTGGAAGCATGAAACTAGGAGCAAAACATTCCGTTTTGTGAAGCCAACATTTTCTTTCTGCCCAAGCTGCTTTATCCCGGTCAGGCTCTAGCGGGCGTGTGCCCGCTAGGTGGCGCCCGTCCTCCACAGTACCCGGGCGGGGTCGGGAAAACGCTTTTTAAACGTTGAGAGGTGATCTCCAATCCTGGCTTTTTACAGGTAAGAAAATGAGGCTCCCAGTGTCTTCCGTGAAGTCGCATCACTGCATCCTGGAGCCTCGAGCAAACACAGGTCCCCATATTTCTGAACCCAACCAACTTCCATCACCTGGCTGTCTCCCTCTACATACGGTTTAGTTTATTGATTTTAATAATACTGCTGTGTTTCTTTCTTTGTAAATAGCAAGGTTTAAGTTCAGATGTGCAGGCCTTAGCCTCCTTTATTTTCAAATGCCCGGAACAGGAAAAAAAAAATCATTAAGTTGCCTGCATGGATTCTTTCTTTGACTTCCTTAAGTTCTGAGCTCCTTTTCTGATGAATGAGTAGCATAGACATGGGCGACAGAGATCCTGGGGAACGTTTAATGAGAATAAATAGGAAGGTTTGAGAAAAAAACAATTAGAGTAGAAAACCCAACCAGATTGGCATTTGACAAACTCAGAACTGAATCCTGATTTAGCCACTTTTGAACTCCCACCTCTTTACTAACCTATAAAATGGGGACAATGTTTTCTATCTACCACACCCCCAGGGGTGTGTAGATTAAATAAAATAGGCCATGGCTCCTGGCCCCTTGTTGGTAAACAACACTTGTTTAAATATAAAACTTCCTTGGTCCATAGTAATGCTGTTCTCTTCAGCCTGATAGACCCGGACCACGTTTGTGAAAATCCTGACGGGGTCTGGAAACGGGTGGCCTGGGAGGCCAGCAGGCGGGGTCTGCGGGCAAGAAAGCGGCATGGAGCTTGGGGTCTGGGTGCTGCGGGTGCTTCCAGTGCCCTCGGGAGCCCGCAGATGAAGACAGGCGTTCAGCCCCGGGCGCAGCCTCTACCTGGACCCGGCTCCGCAGCCAGGTCGCGCGCTTCAGCTGCGCCCTCGGAGGGCACCGGATACAAGCCCTCCTTTTAAAGGACTGGGGACCTTGGCCTAGAGAACGCAGGTGACTTCAGTCAAGGTCATCGGCCTCTGAGGGCCTCTCCGGGAGTGACCTCTCCTCTCGCTCCCTCGGGCCACTCCGAGCACAGAAGGCTGTCTCTTCCCCGAGAGACCGAGGGCGGCCAAGGGCGCAGGTGGAGGGCGGCAGGGGCGCGCCCCCGGTGGCCCCGCGGGAGAATGCCGGCGGCCGCAGGTCCCGGGGCGCGCCTGGGGACCGGGGGTCCCCACCCCGCTGGCCGCCTCGTCTCTCCCACCCGCTCCCACTCTGCGCCCGCGGCCCCCGCAGGCTTCGCGGCTCAGCGGCGCTCCGGCCCGGGGCTGGAGGGCGCTGCCGGGCGGGAGGCTCGCAAGAACCGAACAGCGGAGGAGAAAGCGGAGAGCAGGGCGGAAGGGGGGTGGGGGGTGCGGGGGGCGAGGAAGAGAGGGGAACTGGGAAGGAGCGGGGCGAGGGGCCGGGGAGGCAGGCTCGGGCGCGGAGCTCCCCGGCCGCCTCCTCGAAGGCAGGCCGGCTGCCGGGGCTCCCCGGCTCTGCGGAGCCCCGCGGCCGGCCCAGGCCAGAGCGCGGCGCCGACGCGAGGTCAGGCGCGGTCAGCCTGCCGCGGGGCTCCGGGAGCCCGCGGCCACGCCCGGCACCCAGCGCCCCCCGTGCGCGCGCGGACGCGCCCGGCCCCCTGCCACGCGCGCCCAGTCGCCGGCCTGGACTCTGCAGGTACCCCGGACAGCCTCTGCCGACTCCCACGTGTGCTCACCGGCCCCCAAAGCCTTTTCACCCCCACCCAAGCCCTCCCGGGGAGCAGCTTCTAGTCGTAGCTCCAGACCAGTGTTCTTTTACGCACCTCCCGGCCCAGCCTGCAGACACTCACCAGACCCACACGTCCACACTGCCGCAGTGGCCCAGAGACGACACGCACGAGTCTCTCGCCTTGCGCCTGCTGAAGTCTGGGAATGCAGCCGCTTTCCTGCACCCCGGGCACGCACAGAAAACAGACGCCACCAAATCACGGAACTGCGTCTTTTAATGCCTTGTCAGCCTCTGCCGCAGACTGGCAAGGGGCAGATGCTACTGTGATCTGGGCTCTCAAAAAAATACGTGTGAGGGGCAACTAAATAGTAGTGACTATTTTCAAGTAAATCTTGGAGCGGCCCCCAAACTTACCCTCAGACTAGGTCATTCGACCCCCAAAACCTCTCGGTTGCCTGTGGGTGCGGAACTCACTCTATTGTTCGTGCACACCAGGTCCTGACCACACAGAGGCACAGCTGTTCTGGGACACGCAGTTCACACCTGCCCATCTCTCACCTCCCGGGCGACCTGCGTCAGTCTCCTCCTGGATGCGCTCCCCAGAGAGTAACAGGATGGTGGGGACCGAGGTAATTTAAAGAGTAAATAAAGGTCAGCGGGAGGGAGGAAAGGACACGCTTTCTTTTGAAACCTCAGGAGCATTCAGTTCTGTTCCCCTCCCGGCCTGAAGGGTATCCGTTCCTTATACTGGCCGGATACTGACACGGAATCTAAGCACCTTTCCCTCGAAAGTGATGTAATCCTGAAGAGCTCTAAAGGGCAACGATCGCTTCAAGTGCGGATTTTCAACCCAAGGACACGAACGGATCTGTACTGTAGTGTGGGGGATGCAACAAAGCATCAGGAAGCCAAAATGTTGGAAAATTAGATGTGGCAAAGCCCTTCCAAACATACACCCTGAGCCCGAAAACTATGAATAGTGCATGTCGTTCACACTGCGGGGCACAGCAAGAACAGAGGAAAATGTTATTTATTTTAGTGACACCAACACCACCAATCCCAGCGTTTACTAAACTAAAATCACGGTTCTTTAAACCGACTTAAGGTTCAAGTTGTGTCTCTGGTGTTGTTAAACCTTCGGTAAAATTTATGGAAGGCAGTAAATATGTTACTTGAGCAAACTTTTTATTTTAAAATAAATAACGTAAGTAACAAATGTTTTCAGACCACAATATTTGTGTTTCTTAGCCTGGCTCCTTCTATGACAGAAAACAATCCATGACTTATTTTTTTAAGAGAATTTCATGTCATCAGTTCAGAATCATTGCTACAGTAATTTGTATATAGTCCTTTAAACAAACACGTATCTTTTCCAATCTTACTGAACTTACAAGTAAAAGAATATGTAAAGAACAAATTGAAAGATTGTTTTTCCCCCTCCATCCTGGTGTGAAATTTAACATTAATGTTAAATTTAGTATTGACTGTCCAGAGAAATGACTCGCAACTTCCAGACACTCCCCCAAAAGTGACTTCTCATTTCTCGCCTGACTTTAGTTCTCTAACTGTACCATCTTTTTTTTTTGATGGTTCTATAGTAATCGAATCAAATGAAGGTGAAGAAGGAAAAAAAATATTTCAATGATTTTAATTAACTGATTATTTCAGCGGAAAGAATTAGCAGTGAGAATGCAGCGAGATTGTAATATAAAGGTTAAAAAAAAAAAAAACAGCGGCAGCATTTTGCGTTTTGTTCCTATCTTCGAACCTTCCTAGGGAATGAAAACCTGCGCGCGCGATTTACCGAACCGCGTTATTCTGGATTTTCCCCGCGTCCAGATTTCGACTATTAAATACCGTGTTCAGTAAAGCGCTGCAATAGGGGGATACCTCGGCGGAGGCAGGACACGTGGGTTTTCGGACAGAGTGTGTAGGGGGTGAGCCTCCCAGCCGCCGGAGGATGCTTCGAGGACCCGGCTTGGGAGGAAAGGGGTTAAGTCAGACCCTGACTTTCTCGGCGCGACGTGCCCGGTTTTGTCTGTCGGAGTCGACGTCGCCCCGCCGGAGCCAGCCAATGGGCGGCCGGCACGGCCCGGGCGGCCCGCGAGGGGGCGTGGCCCGCGGCTGTCACTCAGCGGTGAGGAATGACACCCGGGCGGGAGGGGGGATCCGGCGGGACGCCGCGGACGGAAAGAGAGAAGAACCAGATAAATGCCGAGCAGGGGGTAAAAAGGTGCCCCGCGCCTCTCGGAGCCCAGAGGCCGCCGCCGCCGCCGCCGCCGCCGGGGGTGGGCTCCGGAAGAGCCCGACCGACGGGAAGGGAACGGACCGGCCAGGAGCGAAATCCTGCAGCCTGGGAAGAGACTGGGGCGCAAAGGAAAAGTGACTCGGGCCGTGCGCCCCGGAGGCGCCCAGAAGGGGACTGCAGCCGCGGGGGGGGGGGGCCGCCGATCCGCCCTCCGCATCCTCGGAGGGGGCAGACCCCGGCCCGCCCCTGAGGGCGCGAGGCGATGAGATAATCCAGCTGAGCTGCGAACGGAGAGCGTCTGGCGCTGGATCGGGGGGGAGGGGGTCTCCGGGCGGGGTGGGCCTCGGAAGTGGGGGTGAGGGTCGGCGCTGCTCCCGGGCCAGAGGGGGGCGGGGGCTGCTGGGCCGCGCAGGAGCGGGCTGCAGGGGCCCCGCGCGCCCGGCTCACTCGCGCCGCGGCGGCCCGCGCGCTGCGTCCCGCCGGGAGCCGCCCCGCGCCCCAGCCGCCCGGCCGGCCGGCCGCTCCGGCCCGCGGCGCAGATGGCTGTGCGCGGCGCCAACACCTTGACGCCCTTCTCCATCCAGGCAATCCTCAACAAGAAAGAGGAGCGCGGCGGGCCGCCCGCACCGGAGGGGCGCCCGGGGCCCGGGGGCACCGCGGCGGCGGCGGCTGAGGCTCCCGCCGTCTGCTGCTGGCGACTCTTCGGGGAGACAGACGCGGGCGCCCTGGGGGGCGCGGAGGACTCTCTGCTGGCGTCGCCGGCGGGGACCAGAACGGCTGCAGGGCGCACCGCGGACAGCCTGGCTGGTTGGGACTCGGACTCGGCGCTGAGCGAGGAGAACGAGGGCGGGCGGCGCTGTGCGGACGCGCCGGGGGCCAGCGGGGCCGGCCGCGCCGGGGGGACGCCGGGCCGCGGCCAGCCGGTCTGCGAGCTGCCCGCCGCCAAGGACCTGGAGGAGGAAGCGGCAGGCCGGAGCGACAGCGAGATGTCGGCCAGCGTCTCAGGTCTGCAGAGGCTTCGCGGGGAAGGGGGCCGGGCCGGGGGCGGGGGGGGGGGTGCGGCGAGGAGGGCAGGCACGCCGAGTGGGGTGGGCCTGCTGTGAGCACCCTACGCCCTGGGGCCCCGTGGCTCGTCAAGGGCCGAAGCTATTGGCGCTGGCGCGGGCCGCTCCAGCCCTCAGGGAACTGAGCCCCAGGGAGAACCGAGAAACTCCGCAGAGCCCTGCGTCCTGGGGTGAGGCCTGCGACGTCCGGGGGGCAGCCGTGTCCTGGCCCGGGCTAGGCAAAGGCCACCGCACCCTGGCTTTAAGTCGGTCGCCAGTGCTTCGGCGTGTCTGTGTCCAGATCAGCCAAATCAGCGACAGGGAAGAGCCGGAGGCCCAGAGACCTCGGGTAGCCAGTGCCCTGGCCCCGGGCCCGTAAAGCAGAAGCGCCCAGGGTCCGGCCCTCAGCTCGAGGAGAGGTGGTGAGGGGTGCCCCTAAGTGGTACCGAGCCGTCCATCTGCCCCGCCTGGGCTCCGAGGGGAGCGCTTCTTTAGCTTTCCCAGCCCCCAGGGTCAGGAGAGCTGGGAAGGGCTAAGGACCTTGCAGCCAGCTGAAGACAGAAGAGCTTGATGTGGGTCACCCCAAAAGTAGCAGGGAGAGGCACAGCCTCAGCTAGGGCTCCGGAAGACCCCCGTTCCTACCCCGGTCGGCCGGAAGCCGCTGTAGGCCTCACGCTGGCTCCAAGTAAAGTGCTTGTCAGAGACCAGAGCTCCGGACCTCTCTGCTAGGGTGCTGGGGGCAGATGCAGGAAGAAGCTGAGGAGCTGGCGTCAGATTGGGGTGCAAGGACTCCAAGCAGGGGCACCTCCTACACTTCACCCTCAGTCCCTAGCCCTCCCCTCCTTTTCTTGCAATGAAAGAGAGAGAGAGAAGCCCACCAAGGCTTTGGGGCAGACTGTTGCCAGGGCCCGCGCACAATCCCGGTGGGTCGGGGGTTAGATCCCGGATACTTATGTTCCCGGGATTCGGGTCCCCCACCTTCCCCCTGTGTGCCGTGGACGCGTGTGCGCAACTGTGAGTGTGTGTGCGCGTGAGTCTGTGGAGGCAGGGGAACCCAGTGAGGGGAGCATTCTAGAACCCCAGAGCTCAGCGCCGAGAACGGAGGAGACATGTGAGGATGCTCAGGCCCCAGGGCCCCACGATCCTGAGGGGAGCCCGGAGCCCAGAGAGGGCAGGAAGCTTGATGTTGGCCACACAGCGTTGATAACAGCGGCTGAGTCCCGTTTCCCTCGCAGGACAGGCCTAAATGCAAGAAGCTATGGGACAGGGCTCCGAGACCGGTTTCCCCGAGACCCTCCCCGAGAGCTCTTTGGGGGATCAAAGTGCACTTCCGTACCCCACCCCAGCCCCACGGTAGAGGCCCGACCTCGCTCCTCGGCGGCGCTGACCGTCTGTTGTTTCTGTCCCCACTGGGATCCGCAGGCGACCGCAGCCCGAGGGCCGAGGACGACGCCGTTGGCCCCGGAAGCGCACGCGTCCCCGCGCTGTGCGGCAGAGGCGGCGGCGGCGGCCCGGCGGGCGGCGCGGAGGAGGAGGAGGAGCCCGCGGCGCCCAAGCCGCGCAAGAAACGCTCGCGGGCCGCCTTCTCGCACGCGCAGGTCTTCGAGCTGGAGCGCCGCTTCAACCACCAGCGCTACCTGTCCGGGCCGGAGCGCGCCGACCTGGCCGCGTCGCTGAAGCTCACCGAGACGCAGGTGAAGATCTGGTTCCAGAACCGTCGCTACAAGACCAAGCGCCGGCAGATGGCCGCCGACCTGCTGGCCTCTGCGCCCGCCGCCAAGAAGGTGGCGGTGAAAGTGCTCGTCCGCGACGACCAGAGACAGTACTTGCCCGGCGAGGTGCTGCGGCCACCCTCGCTGCTGCCGCTCCAGCCCTCCTACTACTACCCTTACTACTGCCTCCCCGGCTGGGCGCTCTCCACGTGTGCAGCCGCCGCGGGCACCCAGTGAGCAGATCGCCGCGCCCCAGCTCCGGACGACCGCGGACGGCTGTGCAGGTTGCGCGCTCTGCACGAGGGCGCCCCGCCGAGGGGGCACGTGCAGGATGAAATCCAGCCCGGGCTCAAACTTCCAGGAGGGCGCCCTGGCCGCGGGACCGAGTCTGTCCAGAGAGGGCGCTTTTTCTAAACGGAACAGAGGCACCCTAAGCCCTAGGGGCCTGGCTCCCCTGTCGCCTGCCTGGAAACTCTTGGACGTTATTTATTATCACTACAGAGTTGGATGTGGATTGTCTGTGCCAGGAGACCATGTTTCCCTGGAGCGGAAAGAACTCCTGGAGACCACATAGCCTGAATGCCCGGAATTTCAGGCTAGCCGGGAGCTTCGTGCGCTAGGCCACAATAGTTCATGGTATCCATGCTACCAATCTATGTGTATCTACATATCTATTTTTTTTTTTTTTGGAAATTGCATTTGTATTAAAGAGGTGCGGAACCCTGGCAGCCCCAAGGAGCCCCAAGCCATGGGGTTGATGTGAACCCTGAAAGATTTGGTTTTGGGGCCCTCTGCCCCACGCCTCTCCACGTCAGAGCTCTGGTGGGGATGCCCTATTGGGTGCTGAATGTAAAGACGGGAGCCTCTGAGCACAGGGCAGGGCAGAGACTCCCCCGGAATCTTTCCTCTCTGAAGTCCAGGGCCGCGGCCAACTGGGGAGCTTCCTGGGAACCCCCCACCCCAACCGGGAGAGAGCAAACCCAGCAGCCCTTCGCAGAAACTTTCCTGTATTTCTTTTTATTTTTTTAAAGGAGGTTAAAACTTGTAGCACTTTTCAGTTGTTTGTATTCAAATAACGGTTATTTTTGCATTCAATGTGAATATCCCTGACCAGCCTTTCCATGGCATCCCCCCCCCGCAGTATCGCCCCCCCCCACTCTGTCCCTGACTCCAAGACTCCTGCGTTCTGACCCAGGATTCTCTCATCCCTTTCCTTGCCCAGAAGACAGATGGTCCTGTCAACCTCGTCGCTTTTTGCCTCTTTAAAGGCACTGTGCACTCATCTAGAATATTAACTTTAAAAAGATTTGTGAAGTTTGGAAGCTCTATTCGCTTTATCTTTTTTTTTCCTTTAATTTATAAACTTTTAGTTTACCATGCCCTCCTGGACGCCGTGTTTTCTCTGAGCCTCTCTCTGTCCGGCTTTAGGGAATCCAGTACCATGAATATGTCTGGGGCTCATTTTCCCAACCGCTTTTCAGTCCTGGACCGAGGAAGCCTGGCCCCTCTAGGAAGCCGCCTCGCTTCCAGCCCCTTGGAAAGTGCTGAAACCCGCGCAGTTCAGGGAATTGCAATTTAGGGGATTTTGCAGAAGGCACAGATGAATCCTGCTAAATCGGGAGTGAATGCCTAGGATTCCCTTTTATTTTATTTTATTATTTTATTTCTTTTTTTTCCCCTGGTACTGGTTTCAGAATCTAGAAAGGGTTCATGACCGAACCTGTGGTCAGTTTCAGCCCCACCTAACCTGCTGACTACTTCACCTGCCCACGGTCGTCTCTGCTTTCGATTTTCCGAGGGTTTCTTTAAGGAGTCCTGTCTTCATTTCGTTTGGAGAACAGGCTAGCAAGAACTTGCTGAAATTTTAAAGCAATTAGGGGCAAACAAGGCTATAATAAGGGGTCCCCTGGGGCAGCGTGCAAATGGCCCTCTACCTTGTTCCCGAGTGCTTCCACTCTCTCCGTGACACGGTGTGTTTGACCCACACACAAGCCCAAGATGGAAGGAGAGAATAAGTGGGGAGAGGGTTAGTTACTGTTTACATTTTCCAGACCAACACAGTCCGCCCCCGTTCGGACTCCCCAGGCTGTTGAGGACTCCCCAGAGCAAAATGCTCAACGCCACACTCCCCTTCCGCTGGCCCGGGTTGAGCAAGGAAGAGTTAATGCCACATTGCAGGCTCCGAGGCCTCGGGGCCGCTGGCCTGCTTGCGGGAGCGAGGAAAATGCCAAACCCAGGCCCCGGCTACTTTCAATTTTACCCGGCAGGCTGATCCTCCTTCCTCCCAAGCTGTGACCTTTTAGAGCCTCAGGACCCTCAGGCCTTTGTATCCCAAAGTCCACGGCCAGGGGTCTGCAGCCGCTGGGTCCAGCCGCGGGGCGGAGAGTCGCAACTTGCGCTTTACAAAAAACAATTCCTGTTTGTGGAAACAGCAACACACAAAGAGAAAGGCAAAGGCCCTCGGGATGTGCACACCCTTGTCCCCAAGTCCAACTACCTTCTAAGTGGTTCCTAGAATCATTTTGTCTCTTTCTGGCATGTTTAAAAATTCCACTTTAACCTCATAATTAATCATGAATCCATTTTCATTGTAGAAAGAACATTTCCGATAATGCCAGAATCTCGTCCCTTCCTCTCTGCAGAGATGGCCGCTACGGAGAGGTTTTCTCGGCGGGGAGGAGGGGAGGAGGGGGGTGGAGAGGGTCTATTATTTCCCCTTCAGAAAACGTCCGTTCGTTGTGACGACGGCCTAAGGGGTAAGTTTGCCTTCCATCCTTGCAGATTTGGGGTTGATAGAACTGGCGGTTTTCTTTCGAGTCTGCCTGCGGAGCCTCTTCCCTTGCTCGTCCCCTCTCTGCTCCCCGCCTGGGCCAGTGGTGCTGGGCTGGCTCCAGATGCCTGGGGAAAATGACTCAAACGAATTCAGTTTGCCCCGAGTAGTGGCAGTTTCTCTTTCAGCTGCCCCCCGGCTGGTGCGGCCACCAGCATCTTGAGATCTGATTCGTGGAGTGGGACCCAGCCTGTGGGTCCAGCCTGGCTTTGGGAGATTTCCTAACGCACTTGGAGACCCACGGCCGGTATCTTTACCAGGGCCCCTGGCCGCAGACGCGGGTCCTGTTGGAAATATGCGGTGTTACTTTCTCAGTTTCCTTTTCCTTCTCTACTCCCATCCCTGCTTGAAAAAAAAAAAAAAAAAGAAGAGAGAAAAAGTCTATCTCCTTGTCCATCTTGCTTCCGAATGTCGGAGGGGACCTTAGGCCACTCACTGTCTGCGCCCCTGGGTGCAGTGTTCTCTGTTGGTTTCCTTGGGCCCTGATTTCCCAGAGGAACTGCCACCTGAGCCCAGTGTGTGTGTGTGGGGGGGGGGTTACCTTTTCATCTTTCTCAATCCTTTGGGGCCCTTGGTGAATCTCAGCGCTGGCCTTCAGGATGGTTGAGTATGACGTGCACACTTACATGGGTAAACTACAGACAGAGGAATGACGGGGGGGGGGGGGGGGGGGGGAGAAGAAGGTGAACCTGCACTGAAATCTGCCCCAAGGATTCAGGCTCAGCCTGCGATTCTTGGGCTCTGGGCACCAAATATGGGATCGGCAAGCTGCCAGATGTCGTGTGTGTGTGTGTGTGTGTGTGTGTGTGTGACTCCAACCCCTGGCCTGTTGGCCTTGGCTCTCCCAACCTTCGTCTAACTCCAAGCAACCAAGTTTGAGGGGCTCACTGACTCGAGGGCGTATCTCGGCAGAGCTGGGCCAAACCGGGGGAGTTTAGGAACGAGTTCCATTTCAGAAAATAAAAGGCTTCCGGGCCGCAGAGAATCCGCGCGCACCCGCCACTCCTCCGCGCTAGCAAAAGGGAGAGGTTGACTTCATTCGAGAAGGTCCGAGGAAGGCTCCCACAAGATGTCCCTTTTCCTCGGAGAGCCTCGTCCGGGTCCCCGGCCCCAGGGGCTGGGGGCAAAGCGGGGCGGCGTCCGAGGGCCTCCCGGGAGCAGGGAGCTGCTGCCGACCGGAAACCCGCAAGCCTGCGAGCGACACACGAGCATCCCAGCGAGGCAAGACCCCCTCCGAGGCCGGCGGAGGCCCGAGCGGGCGGGGATCCCGGGACTCCGTCGTCCATCCTGGCCGGGCCCACACTCCACTCATGTGTCGTCGGTGTTTGCCGGGAAACGATAGCATCCGGCGACGGGCAAGCGCACGGGGTTCACCTGGCCTCGCAGAGCGGCTTCTGCCTCTGGGGGACGCTGCGGCCGGAGCAGCGGAGAAAACGAGACCTTTTCCCGCAAGTGGACCCTGGCGGGGCGGCTCCTGGCCCGCCCACCCCACGCGACCCCCGCCCAGGCGCTGCGGGGCTCCAGTCCTGCGGGCCGCCAACCTCACCCTGCTAGCAATTTTAATTGCGAATCACACCGAGCTGCACGAGGACTGCGGGACGCCGCACATGCTTGAAAGCGCTTTGTGAATCGGGAAGCGCCGAGGGTGGCGGCTGGGAGTTCCACGCCCTGGGAGGCGCGTAGCTACTGCACACGCCCCGGCCCAGAGTGAAGGCCGCGCCCAGGGCCGCCACGGAAGCGGGAGCTGAGGCTCCGTAGTAGGAGGGAGGCCCCATCGAGCAGCCAGACAGTGGGTAGCAACCGCCGCCACCAGCGTCTAGAACTACGCTCGGTTGTCTGGGACGTTAGACCTGAGAAAGTGCTTGCGTAGCCTGCTGCGCAGCGTTGTCCCGTGGCCTCCATTTTATGGATGGGGAAACTGAGGCTCAAAGAGGCAATGTGGCTTGCCCGACGTTACAGGCCGTAAGGAGTCCTTTCAGGGTCTTTTAAGCATATTAGGACGCAAGCGGGCCGTGTGGACAGGTGGTCCTTTAGAGCAAGCATCTCCCAGGTTTGGCTTTGGGTGATTGGATGGGTGTGTTTTGAAAACCATTACTCACTACCACTCACTACTACTGTAGCCATCATCATCATCATCATCATCATCATCAATTTCTGGGCAATGCTTGTAGGCAGATCTGAAACACTCTCCCTTGAACTCCTGCACCCTTCAGGGTTTCCCAAGTGACCTGGATATGCTCAGCGAAGGGTCCCTTGGAGGCGTACAGACTCTGGGCCTACGCCAGTTTTCAAGTCTCCTGATAACTTTTTTTTTTTTTTTTAACTGAAGAAATGCCAAAGCAGGCTGGAAAAAATAAAACAAAACCCTTTTTCTGTTATATTGTAAATGGTTACATCATGTAATAAATTAATGTTTTCTGTAGTTACACATAGAAGTTATTCAACATAAATTGGGTTGCCCACATCATTAAAACGTTTATAAAAGAAGATTGATTCCCAAGACCCCACAAGCAGCGGTGGTCCGGTATGGAGTCCAGATTAAGTTGAAGGACGAACTTCTTTCCAACCTGTGGGGTGTGTACGAGGCTGTGGAGGAAACGTCAAACGTCCAAATTTGGGGCAGTTTGCGGATGTGAGAAATGAGCGGACGGCCCCGTCGCCCCGCACCCCGCCGGGACAGCTGCTCTTACTGTTGCTGTATGCTTGGCGTGGGAGGGGGGCGGCGCCCGCCTTCGGGCGGTCCCGAGCTCACCCACAATCCGCCGCACTTGTGAATGTAAGTTCCTGTTGGAATGTCAAGTTCAAAGGAACACGCCGTAGCTGCGGGACCAGGGGCATCGCAGTCCCCGAGTCTCCGGCTAGGCGCGCTCGTTCTGGGGCTCAAACCTTTCCTCTGTGCGGGCGGGAGAGTGCGTGTCTGGCTCCCTCCTTCCCCCTACCCGCCCTGCCTCCGGCCGGCAGCCCGCGCACTCCAGACCCTCCCTCCCAGAAGCAACAGCGTGTTCTCCCTGGGTGCCCCGCCCACGGGCGCCGGTGTGGCCCCGAGGTCCTGTGGTTAGTGCGCCCGCGGAGCGCAGAGCGCGGGATCTGGGCCTAGGCCTCGCGGTCTTCAGTGAGTGCCTCCATCAGCCCTTGCTGGTTCCTCAACTGCAACGGGAGTTCCAGGCGTTAGGCGGGCTTCTGGAGGCTTCTCCGTGAGTCCTTCCACTTCCCGGCCTGGCCTGCTTCTGGTCGTCACACTCAGGCCTCCCGACCGAGCTTTGCTCCTAAGACTTGGGTTTGCGCCCTATCCCTTAGGGGAGTGCGGCCCTGGACCTCGGCGTGTCCAGGGGAGAGCTTCTCTCTCCAGCCTGCCCAAATCGGGCTCCACCGCCGCACAGATCCACAGAGCGATTCTGCCTCGGGCCTGAGTCTACCTGCAGGCAGCAGGCAGCTC